CACTTTGGCGACAGTGGGAAGGAAAAACTCCCTTTTAACAGGAAGAAACCTCCGGCAGAACCAGGCTCAGGGAGGGGCGGGGCCATCTGCTGCGACCGGTTGGGGTGAGAGAAGGAAGACAGGATAAAAGACATGCTGTGGAAGAGAGACAGAGATTAATAACAGATATGATTCAATGCAGAGAGGTCTATTAACACATAGTGAGTGAGAAAGGTGACTGGAAAGGAAAAACTCAATGCATCATTTTGCAGCGTCACTCTGAGACAGGATATTTCTAACTTTAGAGATGTTGTGCAAATGGAAAAAACACTTTTTTTTTTTTTTGTGTCCCGTTTGGATCTTTAGCCATCAGAATTGTTGTCTTAAGGCCAAGAAAGATGCCAAGCGGATTTATTTTACCAAGTGGATCATCATGGCCTTGCCATATTGGTCCATTTGATTGACCTTTATTATAATTATGAATTTATTTTATTTTCAGTTGCTACAAACGGGACAGACATGACTGGGGGATAGGACAGGGAGAAAGAATGAAAGAAAGAGAGGGAGAGAAAGAAAACCAAAGGGGAGAAGAGACGGTGAGAAGGGGGGGAAGAAAGAAAAAAAACAAACAAACAAAACAAAAACACCTGGGTCACCTGTATGGAGAAAAAAAACAGAAGAGAAAGCAAACAACAAAGAGCAACATAATAAAAAAAAACGGCACCATCACAATAAACTAGCTAGCAGTAGATATCAGTAGATACTAAATAATAAACGATATTGTGCAGCAACGCCTTGCTCATAGGGGGTCATATGATTGTTGGGTTTTTCTCTGTATCTATGAAGCGCCTTGAGGCGACTTTTGTTGTGATTTGGTGCTATATAAATAAAATTGAATTGAATTGATTTTTGTGTTTGGCAACGTTCTCCACCTCAGCACTAGCTTCACAGCTCCAACTGACATCTGCAGAGTACAGCTAGAATATGTTTGAATGCATCTAGAGTATTTAGAGCATGAGGTTTGTGGCATTTGTAACAATGGAAACTGAACATGAGAAGGGTTCTGGGTTGGTTCCAGTTTGCATGCTTTTCTAAGGAAGCTCTGGTGCATTCATGCACATTCCAGGTGTACTGTGCGCAGTAAAAATGACTCAACATCAAAAAACCTGCCAAGTTAAGCCTGCGAAAGCCTCAGCCTAGGACACTCTCAAACTTTATAGCTCTCGGCCACATGCCTCTAAAGCAGGGGTGTCAAACTCAAATACACAGTGGGCCAAAATTCAAAACTGGAACAAAGTCGCGGGCTAACATTTATATTTATTGAAAAAAAAACTTCCTCCAGATATAAGAATGAATCTTTTCTTATGGACTCAAACAAGTTTTGCTGAAAAACTGAATATGGAACAAGCAAAGCTTAATACTAAACAATATATATATATATTAGCTGTATAATACCAGTAGGCTAGCTCTAATAGTAATTTGGTATGGCTTCACGGGCCAAATGTAATTAGGCTGCAGGCCAAATTTAGCCCGCGGGCCAGAGTTTGACACCTATGCTCTAAAGCCTGTTAAATTATCATTACCCATGTGACATGAAATCATCTGAGTTGCTGTAATAAGTGACATATGGAGACACTCTGACCTGGGACTCTACAAACTGAAGCTGGGTCTCTCCAAAGTGAAGCTGTTAGGATATTAGTTTGGAGTTACACTTCGTGTTTTCATATTAATTAAGTATGACTGATTTTCAAGTTTTGGATACATTGGTGCATCTACAATCTAGGTGACTGTGGTTTGGGTTCATAAATGTATGAGTCTCCTGAGCTTTTCAAAACATTAAAACTACAAAGAAAAAGTTCATGTGTCACAACATTTGTACAGTTCAAATGGCGCCATCCCCTGGCCAACACTTATCAATAACTTCTCAGCAGAAAAAAATAATTAAAACTTTCAGTGCTGTTATTATTGACATATTTACGGAGCCCCCCAGGGGACATGGGAGAAAAAAAAATTAGGGAGG